TCAAAACAGTTTCTGCCATTATGAGCTGTATTTTCCACATTAAGTATTCACACACCAGTGCTTCCCCATTGCTCACAGTATTTGCTTCTTGCATTCTAACACTTCATCAGTTGTCTCTTTTTCCACTTCCAGCAGTCAAAGCCGGGCAGGAGAGCAATTTAACCTGGAGCAGCTGCCAGGTGCAGAGCTCTCCGCTTGTAGCACTCTCAAAAAGCAAAGACATCTGTCTGAAATATGTGAGCAGGGAGACCGTAAGCTTGTTTGTGCCCTCGGAGACACAATGCTGCAGTCATTCTGTGTTTCTAGAGCATCTCTTTGACTCACACTGCTAAGCATAGGAAAATGGGCCTCACCATCCCCACCATTTCCAGTCTGCATTTTTCTGATTACATGCTGGTGTTCCCACTGTCAATTTAGGTTCACCGATCTTTGTATTTCAAAGATCTTTGCTTTGTTTTATTTTGTTTTGGGGAAAAGGAGTGTTTGAGCTGTTTGTTAGCCTCTTCACAGCAGCAGAGATTTCTCTTAACATCAGTCTTCATTGCAGGATTTCACTACAGGCTGGCATGGCAGAGCAGTTTAAGGCAGAACAGCTAGAAACAACACATATTGAAGCAATGACCCATGATGCAATTAGCAGCCTTCCCCAGAAGCATTTTTCAATACCCTGGGGACACCCAGAATTTGCTGACTACTTGATTCATGCTGCCCCAAATTCCTGGCATTGCCTAAGCAAACCACAGAACCAGGAACTGAAAAGATTGTCTTCTGATGCCTTTGTTTTCTTTGAGCAAATCAATTTTTTTCCTGTTTCTGTTTTTTTTTTTTTTTCCCCCCCTGATCAGAGGAATGTAAATTTAAATCTCAAGTCCCAACAGAGAGGGATTTGTTAATTTTACAATATGCTATCCAAGAGTTTACAAATAGTTCCTCCAAAATGAGCACCTGGATTTTATTTCGTTTACAATGATCCAATTAGCAATCATCTAAGGAATTCTGAAAAATTGCAGGGTGTGAATATAGTGGCTCAGAGAGATTTGCTGTTCTAAATCCAGATGCAACTCTGGCAGGAAGAAATGTTCAAAAATAAATAAATAAAAAATCCACGCCTAGTCCAGCCAAGGTGAAGGGCGCTGCTCATCCCGTGCTTGGCTGGGTGACAGCCTGCATGCATCACCTGAGAAAAGACAAATGCTACTATCATCCAGTCTCCTAAGCTCCATCCATCACTGCTCTGCCAGGTTGTGGTGGTGTTTTTTGTTTGTGTGAGTGGTGTTTGTTGGTTTTAAATAAAAGTGGATGTTACACTCCTCTACCAATCTACGTGATGGTAAGAATTATTAAGCTTGGCATGCTGGAGAAACATTTTGATTTGATCCTAACACGGCCCTGTGAACATGTTTTGTCTCTCCCAACAGTTAGTCCTACAAAGCATCCTGAAGACGTCCTCTGCCCTACACGCCCGTTCGGAGCCTGCTGGGATGTTCTGCAGCGCATGGGCACCGAGCACAGCCTGGAGGCCACCACCTCCCGTCCCTGCCTCGGGAATGACTGTGTCTGGTTTCCAGAAGATGCCAGCTTGGATATTGCCCAGCTAGTGAGGCAGAACTCTGAGCAGCTATAAACACATTTCTGAATCAGGGGAAGGAAGAGTAATTTTATGATTTTTTTCCCACACTTGATAGTGATCTGGAAAATAGTATTCCCCGCTTCTGGGAACCAAAGTGCCTTAAAAAAAGGCCCCAGAGCAGAATACACATCTTATCTATGTGAAGGGCTATGTAGGTAGACAGCATTCTTTTTGTTTTATCAAGCATTACTGCCTAACTGTGGCTTGGCTGTCTGCAGGAAATAGGCACCAGCTCTTTCTGTTACAGTCACATTCCTCCTGAGTCATGAAGCTTTGTCTGAAAAAAAGCCACTGAGTTTAGTTTGTTTTCCTGTTTCTAGCAGTGCTCTGAGTTCCGGGTCAGTCTGAAATGATTAACAGAGATCTGCTGCATCAGCCTTCAGCATGGTCACAGGGTTATCTCCTATCAGCCTTCAAACAAAGGAGCGAGAGGCTTGTTGGAATAGCCAGTGTTTAACAGGTCACTGCACAGAAAAACGTCTCAGGCTGGATGAAAAGGCAAGAATTTGAACAAACGCTGCCCTGAAACAGAACAGCAGCAGCATCCTTCGCTTCATTCGCATTTTCTCTTTGCTGTGCCTGTCCTGCAAAGCCTGCGTAACACCCTATCACCTCCTGCTTACAGATGTGGTTTGCCCTTCGATTCTCCATTAGACAAAAGCCGTTGAACTGAACAATGAAGCAATGTCATTTTAGGAAAATTGACTGGCTACACAGTGCCAAACATCCCATTGCTCTCTGTCCTGCTCACTGGGTCCTGGTGTGACTTGCCATTCACTGTATCACTGCGCTACGCTACAGCTCCTCTACAGGGAGGGAGCGAGCATGCATCATGTTAGTGAAGATAAAGGAAGGGTTCGAATTAGTCATGGGTCAGTGTACAGCAGGCTTGCTCATTAAAGCACAATTCGGAACAGAAGAAGAGATCCTGTGCCTCACATACACAGATGTACAGAGTGAAGAAAGGTTTGGTGTCCAACTCTGCCCCGTGCAGCTAAGCAGAAACCAGGAGATGTGCAGGGAAGGACCAAAGTGCAACCAGCAGAGACACCCTGTTCACCCTGTTCCCTCCCCAGCTTGGTGCTGACCCTGGGCCAGCAATAACAGGTTAACTCCTGCACAGGGTGGGATCCTCACCCAGCCACTACGCCAAGAAAAGATGGAGAGACCCTGCAAAGGCTCAGCCTGCGTGATTTACTAACGCTATTACCAACACCTCTCCTTCACAGAAAAGCTTTTTAACAATATTGATCCTCTAACTTGTCGTATTGTTTCCTGCCTAACTTCAACAAGCTCTGGAAGAGGTTCTGCTCTCAGACCTCCCAGCACTGTCTTTTGTTTAGCCTTATCTAACAAGTCCATTCCCCAAACTCAACAATGGGACACTTAAAAATTTTACTCACCAGGAAGGGTTCACCAGAGGAAATGCAAGGGAACTAGCAGCTTTCACACAGGCTTTTACCATCTCATTAAGTCCTCCTTAATCTCATTAAGTCCTCCTTAATGAGACCTTCCTCACCTGCTGCAATCACCCTCCCATTCATTACACCCACCATCATGCTGCTGGTATTTTCGAGGCTGTCTCAGCTCCTACTCTTCCTTCCCTATTTCCATTTAGTTATTCTTCCATCTGCACTGGGTAGTGAGCTATCACCTTCCCCTGCTCCCTTCCTTGGAGGATAGCTCTGGGCCACAGCTCTGTCCAGAGCATCTTTTGCACTCAGAAGGCACGGGCTTTGTTTTTCTGCCCGTGGGCTCACCATGACAAAGCCTCTAGCCAAAAATCACCCGCCAAGCCCTTCCCAGCTCTTCACCAAGATGTTTTGGCTGTACCGGATCCACCACACTCAACTCCAAAGCATTAAAGACCTCACCAAACTGCTCACCCTGCTCTGCTAATTCACCCCAAACACCCTGACTGCCAAAACTTGCTTATTTTCTGCTCTCCCCATGCACAGCCCCGAGTGGCTCTGTGCATCCCAGCCCTTTTTATACACGCAGGGCTGTCTGCTCACCCACGGATCGGCCCCTCCGCAGGGCCAATCAGCCCCGTGCCAGCAGGGCAGCCAATTTGCACCTTTCCCAATAACTGCAAACACCACGGGGTTCAGGCTGTTCCCAGAGCCCAGCGCCACCCATCCCATCGCATCTGAAAGAGCCTTGAGAGCAAAGCTGCGTCAGAGGGCGGCACAGCTGCCCAAATATTCAACCTCTTGGGATTTTTTATACGCCTTTGGAAATTTTTCTTTCCCTCTTTTTTTTTTTTAAATTTCTTTTTTATTTAAGCTTTTCTAGATACACACAAGACAAACACGAATAGCAGAGAGAATGAGCAGCCTGCCTTCTAGTTAGGAATGAGGGACTACCATGATTATCAATGTGATAATGAGACTGAACACGGGGGAATTTGATATGGGGCAGATTTATCTTGGAGCCAGTCCTGAGCATCCCAACCCCGTGCTTGGCTTCTCACTGCACAGAGCCTCAGGATCAGACCCTGGGTGACAGAACCGTTCCTATCTCGAGTGCATCCTGCGACACAGCTGTGAGCTGAGGGTTACCACCAAGAAAACATTCCCTTCCCTATTTTTTTCCCAACAGTATTTTGACAGCGTGCTCAGAAACGGTGCTCTGAAAGCTCTGCATGTCCTTCCCCATCCTGCAGGGAGCTGTTCAGCTTTGTAAAGTCACACTGTTCTGCTTAGCCGTGATAACGTGCCTCTTAGGGTGGAGGCAACGTCTGGGAGTTGTGGCTCTGAAGTTTGCTGACGAAACAGGGCTGGGATGCCCTGGAGAAGGTGGTGCTCTGTAGGGCAGTTACCTCCTGCCATTGCAGTGGCAATTCCACCCTGACACTGCCTCATTTCAATCATGTCCCATGGGAAGCCCGTACCCGCCTCGCATGCCCAAACGACCCAGAAAATTGCTTCTCTGCTCTCACAAACTGGGCCAGTGCTTCAAGCCCTGGCCTTTGGGGGTGCTGGGAGACACGGCAGGAGGCCAAGGTCTTTGTCACAGCCTCGGAGCCGTTTGCCACCAGGAATTACGTGGGCTCTGCCAACAGATGAAGAAAAGCCAAAAGAGCAAACTTCGAGCTGCGCAACCTTGACGCTGCAATCAATGCTGGAGTTCACCACCAGGAGCAAGCAAACAGCCCCGGCGTTGCACAGCGCCGAGCAAACATTGCGCTTTTATCTGCCTGACAGGCAGCAATTTGTGGCAAAGGGCAAAGCTCGCTGCTCGCTCAGGCTTGACATACGGATGGTCCCGTCACATTCCCCCGATCTCCGCGGGATGATGCATGAATTTCAGGTTAAGCACACGCCTGCCGGTGGGATCACGACCTTCATTTAATATTGCACGGCCCAGCAGACCCGTAATTAATCCCCAGCGTGTTCCAGTGACAGCTCTCGCTCAGCACAGCCATCCACGCCGAAGAGAGAAGTGCCTGGGAATTCACACGCCCAGGCTGGGAGCGTTTCATCTTTTCCTCTGGCTGCTCAGCTCAGCCAGATGACTGAGTTTTATCACACGGGCAACACAGCAGGCCGGGAAGGTTTTAAATTAGTTTAATGAGGTTTAATATTCGTTCACCAACGGTACAAAAAGTCAGATTTCTGCTACATAAGGACCAGAAGAATGTCAAACACAAACACAGCCAAGTACTCAGAAAGAGGCTGCTCATCAAACCCAAGTAACTGGAGCGCAATCTCATGATTCATCCTGCCACACATCTGGAGAGAGAAAAGATGAATATTTTACTAGCTGGGCCAGATCCTACAAAAATACACGTTGCTATTTCATTTAACCCTGTTTCTTTAAAAGATGCGTCTGTGAGAGTGCTTCTGGATGGATCCCACTGCCTGTCCGAGCGGCTTTTTTTTTAATTTAATCATTTTTTACTTAAGCTTTAGCAGCCCGTGCACCAGACTGGTATGATATATGGGAAAGGATGCTTGTTTTCTTTACAGATTTGATTATAAGGGATTTATGGAATAGCTCTTCCCCCTTTCCATCCTCTTCTCTGGACAGCCTCAACGCCGACACAGCTGCACCCGATTTTGCCCCCTGGTGGAACCCCAGAATTTTTGCATCTTGGCAAAGAGCTGCCAGGAGAGAGGAACATAAAGGGAGCCCCGTCAGCAGTCACCACCCCAGTGAGCTTTATAAAGGGTCGCCTGCAAAAATCCAGAAGCTGAGACAGATCGGCAGCATCACCCGCCCAGTGGTCACCCCCCCAGCACAGCCTTGCCAAAAAATGGGTACACGGAGACAGGCAGCCAAGGAAAGGGGCACGGGGAGGAAAATGCTGCTACTCCAACTTTTCAGGAGCCCTGCTGCAGCTCCAGAGAGTTTTCTGGTTAAGTCGTGGTAGGACCCAAAAAAATTAGATCAGTTTGTGAGTGTGCACGGCCCTTCGCAGCCCTCAGTCCTGCAATTACAGCTCTGAAAGGAGGGGAAACTGCAGAGCAGGGAAGGGAACTGCCCCTCCGGCCATGCTAGTGATGCAGAGCACGCTCAGACCCTCGGGACCTCCGCTTCTGAAGCAGATCTGGACTTCCTCCTGCTGGTCAGGCTGGCCAGGACCGAGTCCTCGCTGAAAGCCCCTTCGAAGGTGGACAGGATGGACTGGCGAAACTTCTCCTTGAAATCCGGCCCCACGAACACGTAGAGGATGGGGTTGATGCAGCTGTTGAAGAAGGCAAGGCTGGAAACCAAGGGGATCCCTATGTAAAGGGCCATTTTCATCTCGTGGCTGGAAGAGTTTTGGGATATCTCTAGCAAGGAGAAGACGTGATAGGGGAAGTAACAGAGGAAAAACGAGGCCGTGACAGCAATGATGATTCTGTAGGGCTTGGCGGAGCTGGCTAACTGCCTGCTCTTCAGCTTGACGGCCACGATGCTGTAGCAGAGGAGGATCACCGTGAAGGGGACGAGGAAGCCGCAGAGGAAGCGGGTTATGATCATGGCTTTATGCCGCATCCTCCACAGCCTCCGCGTTGCCTCGGACGTGTAGTCATCGGACAGGGCGAAATTATTGTAGCAGCTGGTGACGTTCCTGGAGCTGACCACGGTGTCACGGAAGACGAGGTACGGGGAGCTGAGGAGCAGGGCCAGGACCCACGTCCCCAGAGCAATCCTGGCCGCCAGCTCCGGGCTCCTGCGGTTGTGGGACCAGACGGGAAAAGCCACCGACACGCAGCGGTCCATGCTGATGACCGTCAGGAGGAAGACGCTGGCAAACATGTTGAGGAAGGCGATGGTGCTGTTGAGCTTGCACAGGAGCTTCCCAAAGGGCCAGTGGAAGCCCAGCGCCGTGTAGGCGATGCTGAGGGGCAGGAAGAAGGTGAAGATGAAGTCGGCGATGGCCAGGTTGAGGAACCACACCGAGTTCACCGTCTTCTTCATCTTGAAGCCCGCAATCCAGATGACGAGGCCGTTGCCCGTCACCCCCAGCAGACAGGCGACGCTGTACACCACCATGGAGAGCACGTGCATGCTCTTCTGGAGGCCGGAGTAGTGATCGTGGGCAGTGGCGTTCGCAGGAGGCACGGTGGGAGAAGTGCCCGGGAAGGGAGATGGGGAAGAAGAGACGCTCTCCATCGCCGCAGGCCAGTCCTGAAATCACAGCAGCACACACTGCTGTTAGCTGCAGCTCCCACAGCTCAGCAGAGCAAGTCTTTGCTAGCAACTGTACCCAAAACGTATATAGAAAGCTGGAATATCTATTGAATGTAACTTCATAACAACCATCCCTCTCTGTAGCATCTGCAAAGCTTCAGAACGGCAGAAAAACTCTTGTGAGGCACAAGGAATTCTAGCAGGATTGAGCAGGATTCCAGCGAACCGAAACAGAGGGAGGAGGGTACTCTGCATGCCTTGGGTTGCTCTGACATGTCCCAGAAGGGACGGTACCGACAGGAAGGGGAGAGCAGAAACTCAGCCACCACGGGGACAACTCCCACTGCTGCAAGCAAAAACCCAGGGATCCATCAAGACAAAACCAATTACACATCCCCTGGGAAGCCCCTGCATCCCTGCAAAGCTTGTCAGCCGCACTGACCGCCTGCCCACCAACACTGCGACACGTTTTAAGCCAGAAAATAAATAATAAAAAAGATTTTTGTTTTGCTTGCAGCTCCTTCCATGCCAGAAGGCCCACTGCAGCCTGGGCGCTGAGGGGCAGGGGGCTGGCATTGCCAATAGAGACACTAAAAAGCTTCTAGACTGATGAAGCTAAAATCCTGCTCCTTCAACAAATACCTTCTGAGGCTGTGTCCTGGTGCAACGGGCAGTCCTTTACCCACAAACCTGCCTCCACGAGCCTGCGCTTCCCCTTAACCAGCACCTTCCTCGCCAGGTCCCCAGGAGGACCCACCACAGCTCCGTGCTCCTCGCCGCTCTCCCTCTGGCTCTGCTCTCCCCCTGCCTGACTCCCCTTTGAGCCACCGCTCGTCTCCGCCGTGACTCAGGGTGCCTCGCTCTTTTTCCACGTCTCGTGCCCACGAGGCGTTTAGTAGGATCTCTCCCTCCCTACCCTCGTTCCCCATTTTACGCTGCCTCGGTTTAACCCCTGAAGCTCTGCCCGGGGCACAGCCTCTCAGGCAAGGTTGGCCAACCCAACTTGGACCCGAAGCACGAAGACACCACCCCATGCCCATCATGTGCCCCCCCTGGGGGCCCCCCTCACCCCACAGAGCCCCACGGAGGGGTCAGGGTGTGCTGTGCTCCCCACACCCGTTAGGGTCAGGTAACCCTAACCCTAACGACCCTGCCCCATATCCAGCGGGACCCCCTGGGCTCATGACCCCGCTCTGGCCATTACCCCATACCCGGGGGGGGGCAGGCAGGGGGGCTGGGAGCACTGCAGCCGGTGTGGACAGGGGCTGCCGGGGGGCTTGGGGTGCCCTGTGGGGGCTCTGGGTGCCTGGGGGGGTTGGGTGCCCGGGGGGTGCCCCGGGGGTACCGGGGCCGTGCCCCCATGTGGCCGCCCAAGGTGACCCGTGCCCAGCGCGCCACGTGCTGCCAGCGCCTCCCGCCACGCCTCGGCGCCGACCAATAGAAAGCGGCGGGGGGAGCGGGGCTCGCCGCTGATTGGCGGAGGAGCTTCCGGAGCCGTGGGTCCGCTCCATTGAGAAAAAGGCGGAGCGAGGCGCTGATTGGTGGAGGCGCCGAGGGGGGCGTGGCCGAGCTGCCTAGGGTAGGCGCGCGGCTTCCCGCGCGGAACCAGGAGCACGATCGCGATCGGGAGCAGGATCCGGAGCAGGGACCGGGAGCAGGAGCGGGCCGGTAGGGGCCGTGTGGGACCGGCACCGGGATCAAACCCGGGGGTACCGCGATGGGAAGGGGCGGCTGCCGCCCCCCCGGAGGCTTGCGCAGCCCCGGAGGCCTGCCCGAAGCCAGCCCCTGCCCTTTCCTCGCCGCCACCCGGCTGCTCCGGCAGCGGCTTGGCACGGGTTGGGCACAGGCGAGCCAAGTGGGGAGCTTAATAACCAGCTCACGGCTCCATCCAACCGGCCGGGGGCACGGGCAAGGCGATCTGTGTGCAGCCCGGGGGGGAGCAGGGCTGTCACGGCTGCTCCAGGGCTCTTTGGCTCCGTTAAAACCCCTGGGTAGAACGGGGGAAGCCCTATAAAGCCGGGGGGGCAGTGCCCAGGGGGGCAGTGGTGGGTGGGTGTGCGGAATGGCCAAATCCACAGCCAACAAACCCATGTGAAACCAGCAGGGAAACACCAGGAGCTGCCAGTGCCTTCCTCCCCCAGCAGGTCCTCGCTGCGGTTGCTCCCTCTGCATTTCTGGGGAAGATGCAGGGCAGGAGCAGCCCCCACGGGCACGGTGCAGAAGCCACCCGCTCCCCTCTCCGCTTGCAGGTGACGTTGGACGCAGCAGGAGATGGAGAAGTCGGCAGCCAACTCGAGCCTCCCTAGCACGGAGCTCTGGGCCTCCCACAACAAGATGGTGATGGAGCCGCTCGACACCAACGACCCCGAGGTGAGAGCCCCTGCCTGGCACAGCAGCCGCTGGGGACAGCGAGCGCCTCGGGATGGGGACAGGGTCCAAGGCTGAGCTGCTGGGACTCGTCCATGCTCTGTGCGAGAGGAGAGAGGGCGTCCTGCAGCCACGGGGCTGGAACTCCTCATCTGCTGCTCACAGCCCCCTGCCTGAGGCTCAGACGTCTGTGCCAGGCTCAGCTCTCGCTGTAGCCACCCAGCAGTTACCCTTGACACTAACCCAAGTGCCAGCTGAATGATCTGATGGCTGTGTGGCAGCTAGAAGCCCCAAAATGTACGTGGCAGGACATGGGAACTGCTGGGATCGGCTGCACCAAGAAGGGATCTCCTCTCCCTCCTCCAGTCCCTTTCCAGGCTGCTCTCCGTTGCCCTGTCCCTTCTGAGGGCACGTCCCGAGCTGCTTCTCTCCCTTCCCCAAGGTGCACAGCATCATCAAGAAGGAGAAGCAGCGGCAGAGGCTGGGGCTGGAGTTGATCGCCTCGGAGAACTTTGCGAGCCGAGCGGTCCTGGAGGCGCTGGGGTCCTGCCTGAACAACAAATACTCCGAGGGCTACCCAGGACAGAGGTACGGGGCTGGGGGAGAGCCTGACCCCCTCCAAAGCCCCGCAGGGAAGGGAGAGGAACCACCCGCACCACCACAGCCCCCTCGAGACCTTATCTTTGGGAAGGAAGCCACAGCCAAGCTTCCCCAGGGCAGGATTTGACCCTCTCAGCTCCTGGCCTTGTTCTGGATGATCTCAGCGGGGTCACAGCTGTGTGAACACAGCACCATCCTGTTGGGTTTGAATCCCCCGAGGCTGAATCCCCCGAGGTTTGAATCCTGCCCTATTTTCTGGCAGGTACTACGGCGGGACCGAGTTTGTGGACGAGCTGGAAAGGCTGTGCCAGAAGCGAGCCCTGCAGGCCTACCGCCTCGACCCCCAAAAGTGGGGCGTCAACGTCCAGCCCTACTCAGGTAACGGCACCCCCCGGGATCAACCGGGCTGGGCTCTGCCATCCCCACACCCCCCTCACCACCCCCGCTGTGCTCCCCTCCCCGCAGGCTCCCCCGCCAACTTCGCCGTCTACACGGCCTTGGTGGAGCCTCACGGCAGGATCATGGGGCTGGACCTGCCCGATGGGGGGCACCTGACGCACGGCTTCATGACGGACAAGAAGAAGATCTCGGCCACCTCTGTCTTCTTCGAGTCCATGCCCTACAAGGTGGGGAGGGAGAGCTGCTCCTGCTGGAATCAGGGCACAGCCGTCGGGATTTCAAGATTTTTTGTTGCTTCAGGGCGACGGCAGCTGGTCTCCGGCCACGGCGAGGTGGCTGAATCCTCCTCCTCCTCTTCCCCCAGGTCAACCCCAAGACGGGTTACATCGATTACGACCGCCTGGAGGAGAACGCCCGCCTCTTCCACCCCAAGCTGATCATAGCAGGTAAGGGATCAGCCCTAAAAACAAACCGGGGTCGCTCCCTGATGCCTGCAGCACCAAGAGACCTCCGACACCCATTCTGCTGGGACCTCGTGTCCTCACCTGGGTTGTCCCAACCCCGGGTGCCCCCCCAGCACCCTCTCGTGTCCCCGCAATGTTCCCTTCTCCCCGCAGGTGTCAGCTGCTACTCGCGCAACCTGGACTATGCCCGCATGCGGAAGATCGCCGACGCCAACGGCGCCTACCTGATGGCCGACATGGCCCACATCAGCGGGCTGGTGGCCGCCGGCGTCGTGCCCTCACCCTTCGAGCACTGCGACGTCGTCTCCACCACCACGCACAAAACCCTGCGGGGCTGCAGGGCCGGAATGATCTTCTACCGCAAAGGTGCCCGAGCTGCGCACTGGGGGGAGCTACAAATCCAAGCTCCTGCCCGCTGCAGTGGGAAAGGAGGAAAGGCAGAGAGGGTTGGGGTCTCCTGCGAGCAGCTGGGGGAGTTTCAGAGGTCTGGAGCTGAAGAGGAACAACCTCAGCTCCTTCTCCGAGTGGCCAGGGGGTGGATGAAGGGGGCTGAGCAGCCTGCTGAGCCCCGCCGCCCTCCCCTCCCGCAGGCACCCGCAGCGTGGACCCCAAAACGGGCAAGGAAACGCTCTACAACCTGGAGAGCCTCATCAACCAGGCGGTCTTCCCCGGGCTGCAGGGGGGGCCGCACAACCACGCCATCGCAGGTACCCACCGCGGGGCCAGCCGCCTCGTCTCGTGTTGGCGGCACCGCGCGTCCCCACCAGCTCTCCCAAAAACCCTCCGAAAACTTTTGGGAGCCCCCCCCCGAGCTCCCCCCGCTGTTTTCTGTCCCCGCAGGGATCGCCGTGGCGCTGCGGCAGGCCATGACGCCCGAGTTCAAGGCGTACCAGCAGCAGGTGGTGGCCAACTGCAGGGCGCTGGCGGCAGCGCTGATGGAGCTGGGCTACGACATCGTCACGGGTAAGGGGCGCTCGGGGTCACCAGCACGGGGCTGGCTCCTCTGCACAGTCCCAGGCCAGCAGGGTCCCCATATGCGTGGAGGTGATGGGCCAGGCACTGCTGTAGCCATTCCTCAGGACCCTATAAAACCATTCCTAAACACTTCTGCTAAGCAGCCCCTTCCCCAGCGAGGCACCCCGCCGCCCTCCAGCTCGGGGGCAGGCCCCGGTGAATTTCCCACACCTTTTCTTGCTTTAATTTTGATCAGGAGCAAAATTCACCCCAACCCCAACCCAATTCACTCCAACCCCAACCTCTTTTCTTTGCAGGGGGCTCCGACAACCACCTCATCCTCCTGGATCTGCGCAGCAGAGGCACGGACGGTGGCCGGGCCGAGCGGGTGCTGGAGCTCTGCTCCATCGCCTGCAACAAGAACACGTGCCCCGGTAGGTGCCCTACAAACTCCACCAAATCCCATCCCTCGTGCTGGGCTTCCCCCGTGTCTCCTGCTCCCAGCTGGCCCCCGGGGCTCTCAGAGCTCCCCGCGAGGCTCCCGGTGCCCGTGGTGACTCCCTTGTTCTGCTGCAGGCGATGTCAGCGCCCTGCGCCCCAGCGGGCTGCGTTTTGGGACCCCAGCTCTCACCTCCCGCGGCTTCCAGCAGGATGATTTCCGCATGGTGGCTCAGTACATCCACAGAGGTGAGGCCGGGGACACCGGGGACACCAGGGACCGGGCTGGTGGGTGTGTGGGGCTGAGCACAGCTCCTCCGGGAGAGCCACCACGTTGACAAAGGGCAAGACGTGGGCTAAGCCGGGCAGCTTCTCCCTCTCCAGTTGCTGGGGGGAGCACACAAGCGAGAAATCCTTGTCCCAGCTACACATCTGGATGTGGGAGAGGGCATCTGGCCACAGCTGGGGCCAGCCAAACCTGCAGCCACTGAAGGTTTGGAGAGCCGCTGGATGCAGCGGGTGCTGCGGCCGGGAGGGCTGAGCCTGGCGTCCCTCACCCCGCAGGGATCGAGCTGACGCTGCGGGTGCAGAACGAGATGAGCCCCAAGGCCACGCTGAAGGAGTTCAAGGAGAAACTGGAGGAGGAGAAATACCAGAAGGAGCTCAAGGCACTGAAGATGGAGGTGGAAGCCTTCGCAGCGACCTTCCCGCTCCCAGGGCTGCCCGTCCTGTAAGGGGAAGCGCCCCGAGCCAAAAACCCAGGACCACAGCACCCACACAGACCCCCAGCCCCCGAGCCCAGCACCCCAAAACCTCCTCCCTGCTGCTGGCAGTGGCTCCGTGCAGCAGCAGATCCTCGTTTGCCTCTTCCTCACCCCGTTTCGGAGGCAGGAACCCCTCTGAGCACAGCCCCGCGCTACCGCTGGGTCCGAGCAGAAGGAAACCCCCAGCTTCAGGATTTGGGTTTCAGCCAGCTCTGCCCCGCTGTGGGAGCAGCAGAGGAGGTCACAGCCCTGCCTGGCGTGGTTATCTTCGCCAAAACCCCCTGCCCAGCGTGGCTGGGGGGGAAAAAAATGTGAATCTACCCCCAGGAGCCAGCACCTTAAAAAAAAAAAAAGCCGTCCTGGCTTCAGCATCCCAGACTTGCCTTTGGAGGTGCCAGCTCTGCCTTCGTCCTTGCCAGCCTCCACGTGCCTTGATGGGGCCAAAAAATCCCCCAGGACCAGCCCTCCTGGGGCTGCTCGGCCGCCTCCACTGCTAGCACCAGCCCTGGGCTCCAGGGGTTTCCCAGAGCTCCGCGCACAAACCTTCGCTGGACCCATTTTTTAATAAGCACAGGAAAATTTAGGGATTTAACCACCACGTACGCCAAGAATTAGAAGCTTTAAAAAAAAAAATAAAACCGATTTTTTGGTTCGTTTTTTTTTTGTATTTCAAAAATATCTGAACCCAAATAAATAATTTTTTTTTTTTTTTTAAAAGTACATTTCTCAGACTGGTCGTTTGGTGTTAACATCTGTTAAAGTCTTGTGCAGGAACACTTGACAGCACGACACCGAGACATGCTTCTGGGACTGCTCCCGGTCACACTCGCTCTAACTACTGACGCAAGCATTCGGCACACACAGGCACGCACACGGACCTCAACATGCAGGAATAGGATACAGTGCTTTAAAAGAAGAGGAGAAATTCATCCCAGCCTCCTGGCAGCCCTCGGAGGCAGCTCTGAGCCCAGCCCCATCCCCATCCAGGCTCGCCCCGCGTTGGGGCGAGCAGCGGGGCTGGGTACCCTGTTTCTGCCTTCCAGTTAAACATCTCGGGGAGCAGCAGGCGGGTTTGTGAGCCCTGCAGCTCCAGCAGCAAGTGCAAAGCTCCCTCAGGTAGCAGGGCAGGGGCTGTCCCTCGATCTGACGTTGTGCTTTCGGGGCACAGCGCGGAGCAGGCGCCCTCCTTCAGCCCGTGCAGCCCTGCCCGATCGCTGATCACGTTTTGAGGTCGCCTCTCCAAAAGGCTGCTGCGAGCCCCGTGTCCCGCAGTGGGGTCCTGCCCGGCTCCCCAAACCAGCAGCGGGGCCTCCAGTGCTGAACGAAACCCAAAAAAAATGTGCCTAGGGGTGGGGAGGAGGGGGGAGGGAGGGAGCCAGCAGCTCTGCCTCCTCCGGCGCCTCTCCCACCCCTTCCGAAATGGGGAATATTGCTCGAGTGTAGGCAGTGCTTCCCTAGCCAAGGCAAGGCAGCTCAGGAGCTGCTCGGAAGTGATTGCCAGCGGCCCAAGGTGAATCCGAGCGCTGTTCTCTGAGAAAAGAAACCTGCAGAGGGTTTGGCAGCGCCGGCTCCTATGGCTCACCATCCTGGCGGCGAGGCTGAAAGCGGCTCAGGGCATGAGCAAGCAGGGGGCTGCGGAGGCAGGGAAGGAGAGGAGCACAAAAGCAGCCCCGCAGCCAGCCCCTGGGAGGCCTCGGTGGTGATGAATTCTCCGCTCAGGCTTGGAAATCCGTCCCGCTGGCAGCGAGGAGGGGCCACGGGCAGCATGCAGGAGGCTCGGGGCAGGCAGAGGATGGTGGCCATGCACAGCACCGCCGGGGCTGGAAGAAGGGGGGCTGCGAGGAGCCAGCCCTGCTCGTGCTGGGAGGACGGAGGTGTGAGCACACCGGGGTGCTCTGCGGGGGCTGTGAGCACCGAGAGCCTCACCTGCGGGAAGCCTGCGGAGGGTGGAAGCGAGGGAGGATAACGGGGAAGGTGAGGAAAGCGTCTTAAAGTGCTGACGGAGGGATCTTCACCGCGCAGGCAGATCGGAGAGGTGGAAAAATGGGTGAGAAGACAGGAATCGGGCTCCAGAACCACCAGCACAGCTCCCTGCCACGGGGCGGTGAGCTCAGGGGTTCCTGATCCACGTCCCAAGCCAGGTTTGGAAGGGCTCCCGGGCTCCTCACGGCTGCAGGTAACACAGCTCCCGTTCCACAACAGGTCCCCGTGAAGCCCCTGAGGTGTCCTCCCGAATTCAGAGCTGCTTTGGGGCAGGGAGATGAGCAGCCGCCAGTTTGGAAGTTGTTCAGATGGACACAGACGGACATGAGGACGCCTCCAGTCACTGCAGGACGTGTTCTCTGTGGACGTGGGAGTTTTTCCACCAGCACACCCAGCTCACAGGGGACAGGAGGGCACAGGATCGTGAAGGGGAAGGTTCTGAGCACGCTGTGAGGGTTCACAGCCCGCACACACAGCAGCTGACATCCCGGCACACTGCTCACCTTTGGCAAAGGCAAAGCCACGCCGCTTCCAAACCACGCACCAGAAATTCCCCAACAAACCCCTCCTGACCTCAGAAATCCCCCAGAGAGCACCACGAGCTCAAGAGTCCCGACTGCCTCACTGTAAATCCCCACAAATAATGCTAGGATTTAAACTAAACCCTCTGCCCCGTTAGTTTGTGCCTCCCTCAGCTCCTCGAGAGCCCTTTCCAGGTAGGGATGAGGCAGCCACGGGACTGAAGCGTGGATGCTGGCAGCAGGGCAGCACACCCCGGGCAACTCCCTGCCTTCGGGGCACGGCTTTCAGAGCAGTTATCACAGCAATTTCCAGCGGGATCGAGCTCGTGCTGACAAACCCCAGACCACACGAACCTCCCCAGGCGCAGAAGGACGGCGTTCTGCAGCAGCACCGCCTCGCGTCATCATGATGGTGGTAAACAGAGGTTTTAAAAACAGGCAAATCAAAAAAAAAAAAAACAAAAAACAATCCTCGGCTCATCTCGCAAGATCACAGCTGTTCTCAACGCATGATCAGAGTGCTAAAAAGAAATAAAAGCGAGGCTGCTTTTTGCATCCAGCACTCCCCAGGAACGAGAGGTAGGTGAGCCACGGCGAAGGCTTGGAGATAAAATCAATTGGCACAGCCAGAAGCAGCATGCTGCGACGCTGACCCTGCTTTACCACCAAGGGCAACTGCCCAACAGAAAGGGGAAAAAAAAAAACAAAAAACACGTACAGGTACAGCGTGGAGCCCAGCCCCTTCCTCCCAGACCTCTCAGCAGCCAGGCAGCCTGCTCCCCACACTCGCCATCACACAGCACAGCTTCAGCTGAACTGTGCCGCTCGTTTCCCCCTCCCAAAAAGCACCTAAAAATAAGCCTCCCACCTCCCTTCAGCTCCCACCTCTCCTTACGAGGACGCCCTCGGCCTGAAAAGCTGGGAGGATTCCTGGTTTCCCCCCCCAGAGCTCTCAGCAGCCGCCCAGCACGCAGGAGGTGACACACGAACAAGGCACGGTGCTACATTCACGGCGGCGGCGCTAGCGCCAGCCTGCTCCAGGAGCCCCTTTCCCTTTCCAGGTTTTTACAAAGCTGAGAGGCTGGCAAAAATGCAGAGGAGCAGCCCTGCCTTCACTGCTGCCCCTCAGGCCCAGGGCTGAGAGATTTTGGGAAGCGCCAGGGAGCTCAGGAGATGCAGAGGGACACCACCCGCTGCTGCTGCGGGCACAACGGTGCCACCCCACGCTCATGTCAGGCTCTGCGGGGTGAAAACCTTCCCTGCTGGGTTAAAACCTTCCCTGTTGGGTTAAAACCTTCCCTCTGTGCCACAATCCCCCCAGGAAGCCACCCCAACACCCCTCAGGAGTTACCAGCGTCCCTTCTAACCCTTCGAAACGGAGTGCCCAGCGTCCTACGTGATGGAACCCCTACATTTTCGGCGACAGGGAACTGGATTCAGTCCCCCAGATGCTGATTTTTGGGGAGCTGAGGTGCTGGCAGACCCGCTGGCTCCTTCACCCCTTCCTGATGGATGACAGCGACTGCAGACGGCATCGACGGCAAGCACGCGGGGTCGGGGCCAGGACCCGAGTGTGGCAGGCAGAGCGTGGCCCATGAGCCGCTAGATTTTGTACAAAAAGCTGGGGACGTAGTCAAATCTGAGCAGGGGATTCCCCCCCCGGCCGGGTTCCTGAATGTACTGCAGCTTCAGCAGCTCGGCTAAATACTGCACGATTTTGAGATCTTCGTTGGCGAGGCCCAGGTGGTGCTTGAGGAAATTGAGCCGGCGGCTCGCCACGGCTTCCTCCGGCTCCCTCTCGGCGATGGGGAGGTGCAAGTGGTGGCAGAAGGTGAAGAGGAAGGCTTTGGAGCAGAGCTGGGTGAGGACGCTTTGGACGTGCATGTAGTAGGTGCTGCCTCGCTTGATTTGGGTGCGGTGGTCCGCCAGCCGGGCCACCAGGGCGCCCTTGTAGAGGGGGCAGCGCAGGGTCTTGCTGTCGGCGTCCAGGATGCTCACGTAGCGGCTGTAGCGGCTGAGGGCGTGCAGCACGTTCACCCCCGCAGGGGACGCCGTCCTGAAACAGCAAGAGAGAGGTTACAGCTGGAGGAAAGCTGTGGGACACGCAGCAGGCTGGCTGTGCCCGCACCACGCGTGTTTTCCCTCTGTCTGAATCACCCCCGAGGTGTCCTGCGAGCTCACAAAGCCTGGCGTGGGTGAGGATGGCCAAACGGCCTCCCCAATCAGCCAAACCCCGAGGAAATCTCATCCTCCTGGCCCCCCCCACGCGCTGCTCCAGGCACGTGTTGCCCTTTGGGACAGTTCCTCCCTGGCAGACACAGAAACGAGGCCGGGGAGGAAGCGAAGAGACATCTCCGGCGACCAGAAGCGGATCTGGCAGCTCCTGGAGGAGGCAACGAGAAGCAGGAACCTCCCTGCCACCACTTCTGCTTTCCACCCGCGTGGCTGCGTGGGCAGGGAGCTGCCCCGGGGTGGGGCACAACCCCCCTGCCCTCCCTTTGCACGGGGAGCCCTCCATTCCCTGGGCATTTCTCACCCAGGTGCAACCCCCCCTGGCACCCTCACCGTGTGTGCAATTACTCACCAAGCCTCAATTATTGTGATTTAAATGCAAACTGGGAGCCCACGCAACCTCTTCTGCTCCTCTGGCTCGGATCTCTCCAGGAGAAGCAGCCCAGGAGCACCCCAAGAAGCAGCCCAGGAGCACCCCGAGCTGGTGGGAGAGGTGCCTCGGGCAGCTCGGGGAGCTGCAGCACCCCTACAATCATTGATTTGCCCCCCAAATTCCTTCCCAAGCCCCCCCCCACGAAGGGTTTGCTGCCAGCACCTGCCTTAAACCCCACGCTTGCCCTCCTCCCCGTGGAATGTTAATTAAACGCCTGACACAGGTTGCAGGCAGCTCCTCGAAATGCTTTTGTTCATAAAAATAGCATCTAACCGCAAGCCTTCGTCAGCCACCAAACACTCGGGGCTCTGGAAGACCTCGCCAGCAGAGCTGGGAAGCAGCTGCTGGCCGAGCTGTCAGCCTCCCCAGCACAGAAATCAGGGCAGGATCCCAGCTCGGGGCGGTTCAGGCAGCCACAACCACCAGGCTACGCAGCCCAGGACGCAGATTTCTGTGTTTTGACTCAGAAACGCTCCGTCGGGAGCTGTTCCAGCCGGTCCTCGGGTGTTTTTTCTGAGGAAACAGAAATACAGGTGCCACAGGCTCTGGCACAAGCTATTCCTCCGGTTTCTAACCAATTTCGAACCTACCGACCTCGTGGCTGTGTTACCACCTCCTCAGGAAAACAGCTGGAAAGGTTTTCTCTAGCCAGAAATGTTGAAAGAGTTTTGGAAGGGGAGGGAGCAGCACACACCGGCCCTCCAGGAGCGCTTCATTTTCGGACCAGCCACGAAATCAAACCCCAAATCCTCCCTGAAACCCTTCGGGGACCAAAATTTTACCCCGCACAACCCCCTGGCTTTACCTCTGGAGCCCGATCAGCTTCCACTTCTGGAAATCCACCACGTGCAGCGGGGCCGTGCCCCAGTGCTTCACGGGCTTGGCGTGAGCCCCGCAGCTGGGCACGAAGATGGAGAGGGCGGTCACCAGCTTCCTCACCATCGCCTCGTCCTCCCCCAGCACCACCAGGGTCCTGCCGCTCAGCAGGGAGTAGATGGCGGGGTGGGCGAAGGGGTACTGCCGGATGAACCTCAGGGCGTTCTGCCCGGCTTTTTTTTTGTGCCTCTCGCTGGCCGGGCACGGGGGGCGAGCGGGAGAGGGCGTGCGGTCGGAGCAAGTGGAGGCGGCGCTGCTGATGTAGCTCGTGGAGTCCGAGCACTCGTCCAGGCTGCTCCTGCTCGGCTCCCCGCCGCCCAGCGGGGAGCGAGGGGCGAGCTCGTGGGGTAAAAGCCCTCCCGGGATGCCCTCGGGGCCCTGCTCGGCTTGCCGGGAGGGCTGCGGGGGGATCCTCACCACCCCGTCCTCGTCGCACAGCTTGTGGGCCAAGCCGGGCAGGGGCTCGAGGAAACCAGGGCTCTCCTTGCCGATGCAGCAGGCGGAATCGACCCGCGTGGGATTTGCGGGGTCGGGGTCGTCCTCCCGCTCCTCGGCTGGGCTGAACCTGGGGGCGAAGCGGAGGCCTCCCCCCTCCTCGTCGGCGTAAGGTTCCTCGTTAATGGCACTTGGGTAGCTCGCTTTGAAGTCCTCCGGGATGAGCGCCTCGGAAGGGCAGGTGCTGAGCACCTCGATGCTGTCCTCGCTGACGGTCCTCCTGCTGCCCACCTTGCTCCTGCCCACCTGGGGACTGGGGCTGATGGGCAAACTGGCCTGGCTCTCCGATTTGGGCAGCCCCGAGGCGGATTTCTCCGTGCCGAGAACCTCGATGCTCTCACCGCTGCTGATGCTGCCTTTAAGGTCGGCATCGAGATAGTCCAGGTTCTCCTGGGGCTCAAAAGTTACAGATTCGGTCATCGCGGGTTCCGGGGGGTCATCGATGTCCTGCTCCATCTTGATGGGCACGCACTCCACGCTGGATTTGTAGGACCCCAGGCTGATGACCACTTTCGGGGCTGGGGACTCCTCCGGGCACTTTCCGTCGACGGCATCTTGCCCGAGCTCCTGGCAGCCTCGGTGCTGCTTTTCGGGGGCTTTTTCGTCCAGAAAAGACGCGTCCTCGAAGAGGAAGTTGGTGATGCTTTGCTGCTTCAAAAGCGCCCGGCTGATCTGGTTGGTCAGGAGGTAGCACACGTCGCCCCTGAACGTCCTCTCGATCTGCTGCAGCTGGTCCAGGGTCTGGGTGAAGAAATAAATATCGCAGAGCTCCTCCAGTGTCTTCAGCTTCTTGTCGAAGCACTTGGCCGACTTGGCTTTGATGAGCTTGGGGGTGTAGGAGGGCAGGTGGGAGCAGGGGATCTCCTCGCCCGCCTCAGCCAGCTCGGGGGCGGCCAATTCCTGATCGCTGCCCACACTGCCGGCCTGCTCCGGGGCGCACTCGGGCTCGTAGGGGTGGAATTCGGAATCCTTCAGCTTCCTGTAGGGGTAGGAGCGGATCTGCTTCAGCAGGTCCTGGTGCTCGATGATGGATTTCTCCACGCTGGCCAGCTCGTTGGCCTTCTCGATGGCTTGTGTGGTGTAGTACCCCTTGTCGTTGGCTTTCTTCTGTATCTCGGTCTCGTTGTGCAGCACGCTGCGGGTGTACTCCAGGTCCCTCAGCTTCTTCTCCAGCTCGCCGGCGAACGCTTTCCTGTTGCCCGTCTTCAGGCACTCGGAGGCTTTGGAAAACTCGGCCGAGAGCTCCTGGAACTGCTGCATGATCTTGTGCTCGTCGGCCGAGATGTAGGCCATGCAGAAGGGCCGCACGAAGCCGCGGGCCTCCAGGTCGTAGAGCGTCAGGTGGTGCACGTAGGCGAAGGCGCCTTCCTTCGAGTCCCCCAGCACCACCTTGGAATCCTCGACGAAATTCAGCTTGGGGTAAGCGCAGCCGGGCGGGTGGCCCACGAAGGAGGCCTGGTAATCCACCGACATGATGCGAAGCGAGAAATAATTCAGGTCGAAGCTGCCCGGCACCTTGGCGTCGTCGGGGACGGTGAGCAGCGGCTGCGGCCCCACCTGCTCCGAGAACTCGGCCACCAGGATGAAATCCCGCAGGAATTTGCGGCCTCCAGCCCGGGCCCAGGGGTTGGCCCCGTGCCCGCCCAAAGGCGCCAGAGGCACCGAGTACTCCTCAGGCAGCGGCGGCTCCCTCCACGCCCCGTCCCCGCCATCCGCCGCCTCCTCCTCCTGCCTGGCCAACGCCACCACGTCGGGGGCTCCGATCATAGCGACCGGGCCTCAGCAGCCGCCTGCAGCCGCCGCCGCCGCCGCCGAGGCCGCCCGGGCAGCCCCGGCCCCGCTCCCCTCACGGCCTCCGCCTCGGCGCCGCCGCCATCTTGGGCTCACCTGACGGCCGGGCCGCCGCCGGTAGGCCTCGCCGGGGCTCCGCGGCGGGCCGGGGCGCGCGAGGGCGACATGGGAGTTGTAGTTTTAACACCACGACGCCATTATAATTGTAGTCCTTTTTGACGCGAGGCATCATGGGAGGTGTAGTTCTGACCACACGGCGCCATTATAATTGTAGTTCTATTGTAGTCCTCCCCGCCGCACAGCATCATGGGAATCGTAGTTCCGCACCATGGCGCCATTATAGTTGTAGTCCTCCCCGCCGCGCGGCATCACGGGAGTTGTAGTTCTGACCCCACGACGCCATTATAGTTGTAGTCCCCCCCCGGCCGCGCAGTGCAATCGGAGGGGTAGTTCCCCCCCCCCCCCCCCCGCCGCGGTGCTTTGCGGCAGGTCGTAACGCTGAGGGGAATCGCGCCGCTTTTTGCGACAGGAGCTGAGCGGGAGCGCGGGCTGAGCTGAGGGGGCCCGGCCGGCGGTGAGGCCCTGAGGGGGCCCTGAGGGGGTCCAGGGCCCTCCCCCGGCACCGGGAGCGGCCGTGAGGGGGCTGAGGGCCGGGGAGGCGCTGGGGGAGCCCCCAGTGGGCTGTAGGGGGGCTGGGGAGGGGCTCGGTGTCAGGGGCAGGGGGCCAGGAGGGGGGCGATGGGTTTAAACCACAGCAAGGGAGACCCAGGGCAAGCACTGGGAAGAAATCCTGCGCTCTGAGGGCGGTGGGGCCCTGCCACAGGAGCTGTGGGATTCCCGTCCCTAGAGGTGCCCAAGGCCGGGCTGGATGGGGCTGGGGGCAGCCTGGAGGGGCCCAGCCCACAGCAGGGGCTTGGGACTGCGAGATCTGCCAGCTCCCTTCCAGCCCTGAGCCCCTCTGTGCTATCCACGCAATGCTCCTGATCCTAAAGCTGTCTGTCTTCTTGCAGGGAGCAGTCCCCGAGCCAGGACGCTGCCGTGGTGCCATGGGACCCGTCCCCGCTGCCCGTGATGAGCCTCCCTGCATGGCTGGCTGCTAGCCGTGGGGTCAGGATGCTGCCCCAGCCCTGGCGCCTCTTCTCGCGGGCGGCAGGACGATGCGGCGCTGCGGAGGATCCGCAAGGTGCTGTGCGTGGCCGAGAAGAACGATGCCGCCCGGGGAATCGCAGGATCTGCTCTCCAACAGCAGGATGCGGCGGGTAGGAACACGCTGCATCTCCCTGCCTCTCGTTCACATGCCCATGGGTCTGGCAGAGCTGGCTAAGTCAGTATGTATCTTATGCAGAGCTTGGAAAGGGTCTCTGTCCCTTTCTGTCCACGTGAGGGTACAAAACCTCTTTATTTTGTGGATAAGCACTGCTTGCCCAAATGGATCCGAAAGTCTTGGACCCATTTTCCTTCAGATCCTGAAGCCCTGCTGGGATTCAGCTCCCCAGCTGTGCTCTCCCTGCAGACAGCTTTCTCCAGGCATTGAGCTCAGCAGTGGGGGTTCCCGGTGTCGTTCCCAGCTTTGCAGCGTACGTAAAAGCCTTCAGGAGCTGAAACCATCTGTTCCCAGTCAGAAGGCACCGCTTCCGCAGCATCAGCAAGTATCAGGGGTGCAGTGAAGTTCAGAGAACGAAGCAAAGATGGTCTGTGGTTTGGAGAAGGGGAGTTCAAAGATCTCTTCTCTCAGCTGCTGCTTTGTTTTGTGACCTTTAACAGTTTGCATAATTACTTGGTATTTCCAAGCCAAGGGACTGGAAGCCGCTTCTAGACCAAACCCATGTCTGACTGCAAGATGTTCTTGAGAACCTGAGCACAGACAGCATCAGTCAAAGGAAGGCATTGTCATGATTCAAGATCAAAATACCCCATCTAGAAACTTCCACAAACATCGGTTAGATGGAAGGGACCCAGAGCTGGCACTGATTATCTTGTGGAGCAGGACGGTTGTTTGGCAGGAGTGGGGACAATAACTGGTCAACCCAAGTCTGCTCCAGTACCAGTGATAACCCTGGCACCACCCTGGGTGTGTTTTAAGATGCTGGTACACTGGGAATGCCATTCCCACAACTCTTGTAAATGACGCAGGCAACTTCCATCCTGATCTCCCTTGCCTTGGTGTTTTAGCTACAGTACCTGATTTTCACCTGCCCCATGTTTCTGTGCCCTGCCATAACATAAAGCGAGCTGGAACGGGTTTGTTTGGCTTCTGTTGGCAGCCAGAAACTTAGCGACTCTCCTTTTCCTTCCAGAGAGAGGGGTTTTCCAAGTTCAACAAGATCTACGAATACGACTACCAGATGTTTGGCCAGGTAGGGCTCTCTTTCATTCCACTGCTGGATTAGAGAAGTGCAAAATGCTAATTATTTGAAATGCTCATCCGGTTTTGGCAAAAACAAGAAGTCAGGATTTCTTTTCTTGGCTTTTTTCCAACTTTCCATCCTTCTGTTTTCCCACCTGTCAAAAACTGTTATTTAGAACTGGGAGCTTCCTACTAAAAAAGAAGACAAGGTGATAGCTTTGGATGCCTGTAGGGAGAGGAGCCTGTTAGAAAAAGCAGGAGGTGGGCATTGGGTTGTGAGAACTCTGTCAGATTGTAGGGCTCTGGGGAGCTTGCAGCCAACGATGGGCACTGATTACCTTGCCCCATCTCTTGCAGAACGTCACGGTGGTGATGACATCCGTCTCGGGACACTTGCTGGCTCATGATTTCAAGCTGCCCTTTCGCAAATGGTTTGTACTTATCCAGGGAAGTGAAGTGTTTTATCCAACTTCCTCCCCTTTTGTTCTCTGCACGTGAAATAGGAGAAGCTGCATGTTGAGGGCTGCCTTCCAGATTTCCTCTCTTCTCTGACTGCGTTTTGGTTCTGCTGCTTTTGAGTCAACGTAGCTTGGCATTTCACACAGATTCCTAAGTTAAGGCTCATAGTATTATACATTGATATCAGTACCTGAGCAGCATTTCCTCGAGTGACAGCACCAGTTAACGTCTCACAATATGCTTTAGTTTCTTACTCACTGTTTATCCTCTGTTTACCAGGCATAGCTGCAACCCTCTGGCTCTTTTTGAAGCTGAAATCGAGAAATATTGTCCTGAAAACTACGTGGATATTAAGGTATGTTGTTGGTAGCAGTTTCCTTGGAACTCAAAGTTCAGAGGTTGATTCTGCAAATATTGTCTCAGACAGAGGGAGGATTGTACCTTTGTCCTTAACTGCAGAGTTTCTAGAGTTTGGCAAATTCCTCCTGGATTTTCTAGGACTATTGTGTTGTTCTTCCATATCATGGCAATCTCCTGCTAGTGTAAAATTAGAGCAGAAAATGAACAGCTACTTTGTTAAGAGCAGAAATCTGTTCCCAACAAGGTGGAATTGGTAATTGCAACTCAATTTTACAAAAGATGTCATTTTTGGAAAACAGACGGTGGTACAATCCAATCCAAGCCAAGCCGTGTTTTTAACAAACAATTAGATATAAATAAATGAATCATTACTTTTGAAAGCTGCCTAATCTCATGAGAGAGACAATTACAAAATGTTATTGCAACAATCCATCTCTATGGATACACGTTGCATTTCGTGTTCACTTTGTGAGTCATTCTGAAATGAAATGACAAAGCCAGTGGCCTGGCGTGTCTCATTCTGTGTTGTTTTCTGGTCTCAGAGAACCCTTGAACGAGAAGTCCAGCAGTGCCAAGCTCTGGTGATCTGGACTGACTGTGACCGAGAAGGAGAGAACATCGGCTTTGAGATCATTCATGTTTGCAAAGCTGGTGTGTAGAGCATCTGTTGCACCAATCTGCTTTCCATTAAAATGCTGATTTAACAGGTATCACTGCTCAGATCTAGTACCAGAGATGTCATTCTTACTCACTTATCAGTCTTGCTGTGTGCAGGTCAAATCCACTGGCTGTAATTTTGATAAATATCTGGCTTTGATACACAAGAAATGCGCTCCTGCAGTGGAAAGACATAGAATAGGTTGAGAGCATGCTCTTTTTAAGCCAGCTGTTTATTAGTTTATCCTTTCCATTGGTGTTTGTATCACTTAAGTTGTTTTTTTTTTTCCCCTCTTACAGTAAAGCCAAACCTCCAGGTTTTCCGAGCCCGTTTTTCAGAGATCACCCTTCATGCTGTCAGAACAGCCTGCGAGAACCTCACCCAACCGGATCAAAAAACCAGTGATGCTGTTGATGTCAGGCAGGAGCTGGATCTCAGGATAGGTACGTAACCATGCTTTGGGGATGAGAGCTGACTGCTAGCCCTGAGCTGTTGTGCAAAAGCAAGAGAGCAAAGCTCATGCAGCACTGAAAGCCTTCTGCAACTGTTAATATTTAAATTGGAGTAAAATTAATACTCAATTGACTATTAAAGAGAGCCCTCTGCAGTATCGCAATTATCCTCCGATGTTATATTCAATTCTAGTGCCCATTTTGTTTTCCCAGGTGCTGCTTTCACCAGATTCCAGACGCTGAGGCTCCGGAAGATCTTCCCTGATATTTTAGCAGATCAGCTGATCAGCTATGGTAGTTGCCAGTTCCCAACCCTGGGGTTTGTAGTGGAACGCTTTAAAGCCATCCAGGCCTTCGTTCCTGAAGCCTTCTATAAAATCAAAGGTATGCTGGAGGAAAATGAGCACAGAACTCTATCTTAAAGGGTTTAATGGCTTTGAGAAGCAAAAAAGTGCCAGGCAACCAACAAACGATTGCTGCAGAGGTGATTTCCTCTTCCTTTGCCACGATCATTACGCAGAACTATAAAGGTTTACCAGTAGCGTTGCCCTATTGCCTCTGTCTTTTGCCTACATTCCTACCATATCACTCTGATCTGGTTTTCAAAACAGTGACACACGAACACGAAGATGGCAATGTGGTCTTCAACTGGAAGAGGAACCGGCTCTTTAATCACACAGCGTGCCTGGTCCTTTACCACATGTGCATGGAGGTAGGAGAGCTTGTAAACAGTCGTGTGATTTAGGACCAGCTAAACGTTTCCCACATCCTTCTTGCTCAAGATGTTTAAAGAGCAGCCTGTGTGAACTCTTCAAGGAGATTTTTTGCTTATTCTGCAT